TTATATAGATATATACTGATTATTTATTAGATAATGTTAAGACAATGACTTATCACAGCTAGACTGATCGTGTAACTGTGTCTGAGATCAGAATAAAACTTTATAGTTATTATATTATCTAAAAGTATTACTTCTGATCATGATTTGTGTTCATTACATTAATTTCAAATCACATTATTTTAAATATTAAAGATCTCAGATTCACTTTTCAAATAAAAATCTAGTTCTGAATAAAGAATATATTTAAATTCTTAGTTACATTTTCATTCTGATCTCATTATTGAGAATGATATTAAATAAGACTATGAAATCACTTCTCACTTATATAATATCATAATATAGTGCTCATTTGTTGAAAATTCAATAGAGAGTATTATTAAATATTATTACTTTTCTAAATACAGATTATAATTCATATAATTTTAATTATAAAAAAAATATAAAATATAAAAAAAAAACAAAAAACAAAAAATAAAACAAAAACAAGAAAAAATCAGAATGAATAAAAAAAATAAAAAGAAAAAAAAATAAAAGAAAAATAAAAAAATAAAAAATAAAAATAAAAAAAATTAAGATTACAGAGTCACAGTATCTTTAAAATACTCACTTCTCAGAGTCTTTACAATGTCTATTATTAACTATGTATTTCTCACAGTGAGAGTAACATAGCTGTAATGAGTTATTATCTTAATATTATCTAATAAATAATCAGTATATATCTGTATAAATGTGAATATTTAGAAAACATACACTTAAAAAGTGTGGTCAGAATGAACTCTGCTGTTACTTGAATAATATCAAGAGTAGAATACTGAAATCAATGATTTCTCTCATTGATTTCACAGATAAGACAGGTAAAGATAATCTTAAGAAATATAAGATTCTCTGACTTCTGATAAAAATGAATCTCATGAAGAGACTCTATTTTCATAATATCAGAGACTGAGTATTATTAAAAAGTATTACTTCTATACAATATATATACACTTACTGTGATAATTCACTCTCTGCATATGTAATCAAGATTTGCAGCTGCTCCGGTGGCCGAATGGTTAATACGGCCACCTGGTAGCGCCTTGGCGTGGGAAACCAAGGCGTGTGGGTTCGAAACCCGCAGAGAATACATTAAATCCGGAACTCAAGCATCTCAGGTTTCTAATAAATACAGAGGTGTATAAATCACTTCAATAAAATCGCTCTATGTTCCTGGGCTGGGAAGTTATTATCACATGTATCTAATTGTCACTCCTTTGTATTTCCTATGTTCTTGTTATCTTGACATGGTCTCAACACCTGTATTTCCTCCTGTATAACCAACACTTGACCTGTATATAACATCACGCAAGGACTCATCATAAGCTCCGCTTGCATATGAGTATAATGAAAGAATAATAATAATAATAATAATAATAAGATTTGCAGCTTTCTCATACTGTATGACTCTCTCTGAAATGCTGGCATCAGTTTGTAACTCACACAGTCTCTCAGTTCAGTACACACTGTGTGTATACAGCTCTGTATGCTGAGACTGTATTAATCATTATAATCTGATATAATACTCACTTTTCACAGATTATGTTTTATTTGAGAGAGAGAGAAGAGAAGATGTAACTGTAATTAGACTGACTGTGTGACCGTGTCTGAGACCAGAACTAGATTTTTTAATAGTTTCATTACCAATTCGACTGATCCCATTACACACTTTTAACATTAGATAGTAGTTCCATACTGTCCCAGTGAGACTTACTGTCTACTCTTGTCACATTTTCCAAATGAGACCATGATTTCCACTTCTCATTTTAAATTATTTTTATTGCTTTAAATGACTTTAAATCTCATTTAAGCATTATCAAAAAGTGTTACTTTTTAAAAAATTAAAAATAGTCTAAAAAAAACCTTAAAATGTCTAAAAATAGTAACTTTATGCCAAGAATGGGACTAAATGGGACCAAATGAAATCACTTTCTTATTTTTTTCAAGTCATGGTTTCATTTTAAGATCTGATATATAGTCACTTTATCTGTTTTTTTGATAGTCAGTCCCAGCGGGATTCACACCAAGAAATGTATGAGACCAGATCAAATGAGATCAAATGTGAAATTCATGATCCCGGCGGCCAGTCTAACTGTAATTTTATTAAGAGAGAATGAATAATTAGTAATATTGAATATAATTTAATTCTTCTGTATTTAAAATTTGATTAGTCTATACTCTTCAATTTGAGAGTTTCTAAGAGTGTTTTAATAGTTTTCATACCAGCTTGAACTTAGTGATGAGTTGAAGAAGAAGAGAAAAGAAAGAAGAAAGAAATAAGAATAACTTATCTTTATAATATGAAAATAGAGAATCACTGTAATTATTCTCTCTAGTAATAAAGATCTGTTTTCTACATATATTTCTGATATAGATTATATAATAACTGTATACAAAGAATATCAATACTGTATGTATTAAATGAAGATAATATTACTATACAACACTGTAGCTGTTTCTGTATATCTCTGAAAGCTGTTAATATTTTCTTTATCTCTTTATATTTGATAAGTCAGTAATATATTTCAATACACTCTCTCTTTCATTATTATTATCATCATCATCATTATTATTATCATTATTATTATTATTATCATTATCATTAACATTATCACTATTATTATTATATTATTTCTAGCTGTCTCTTCTATCTTCATCTCTCTTTAATACTCACTGAAATTAATTATATTATCTCTCTTCAAATATTCTGCGGTTCTGCGGACTATCAGAGCGTGTGAGCATCATCACAGATTGAAGAGAGAGAAGAAGAAGATGTTTAAGTGAGAAGAGACAGATTGTAAGACATATTATAATGCCTTGAAGAGACTCTATAAAAGAGTAGAATAATAACAATTTTAAGTAATACTTCTGATAGATTTAGACTGAACTAAGTATAGAAATAATGCAGATGACACTGTCTATGAGAGATTGAAGAAGAAGATAGTGAAGAGTCTTATATAGTAGTAGTGAGATCAGAAGAAGTTCTGAGAATAATTTGAGTTCAAGATAAAGAGAGAGAGAGAGAAGAAGAGTATTACTATAAATAAGTAATAATAGAAGAAGATTGAGAGAGTATTAAAGTAGAAGATAAAGAAGTTAAAACTGATAAGTTTTTTATTTATTAAGAGATAATAATTTTTGATAATACTTCTATTCTCTAATTAATTAGCAGAAGCTGATAGAGAAGAAGAGAATTAAAGCCTTGTTCATATCTTAAATGCACTTCATGATTCAGAATATTGAGAAGACAGTTCTACTCTCTGAGCATGTCAATCTGCTTATCACTGAGATGAAACCTGAGGCAGCAGATCAGAAAATACGGGATTTTGAGATACAGATTGACCTGACTGAGAGAGAGCAGCAGAAACCCTTCTCTGAGAAGACAGTAAAGAGAGATTTTAAGATGATTATTATTTCAGATAAGAAGAAGAAGAAGAAGAAGAAGAATGAGAAGTGAATTATAAAGAATAATAAGAAGAATGAGAAAGAGAAGAAGTAGATTTTTTTCTTTTTATATTAGTTAGTTATAAGTTTAAGTTTTTAATTATTAATAATTAAAATTGATTTTGAGTTTTCAAAAATTATTGTACAAGTTGTAATAAAGTCAGGAATGATATATATATATATATATATTTAACTATCATGATTCACAAATCACTATAATATATAAGTATTAACATTTTTTCAATATTGATATTTACAATATTAATATATTTTTAATGATATTATCTAATAATACAATTTGATAACACTCTCTTTTATAATATTAATATATTTCAAGAAATATGACAGAGATTAATCAAGATTGTTTATTTACTTTTATACATTAATGATATTCAATCTGAGTGTAAGAATAAGTGCTCGCAGGCGATTATTCGGGTGTTTGCAGCTTGATATGATATGTACTGTTAACTACTAGAAGTGTTCACAGTAGAAAGATAAATGTAGAGATTAAATGTATAATAGTATTCAAGCTGAGTTGTGAATAGTATTTGCAAACTTCAGTCTATATAGTTGTGTGTAGTCAAGAGCTGCTAGCCCTATTAATTATGTGAGAGATAGAAATAGAGGTAAAGAATCTGTAAGAAGCAGGATTTCTTACATATCCCCTCCTCTCTAAGACTTTGTCTGTGAAGCCTTTCACTAAGTGACTTCATAGTCAGCTCAGCACTGCAGTGATACTCACTAAAAACTCTTCATATCTATAAAAAATCTCAGTGAGGAAAAATCCCTTGTTACTATGAAGAGAAAAGAGTCTGTCACTCAGTTCCTTGTTCTGTGAGATTCTTTGTGATCTATAGATTCTTCTCTGACTATCACACAGATTCATCTTGCATCTTTCATACAGAAGGGTTTCAGTTGACTCTCAATCATTTTCATAAGATTCTTGTGTGATCATCACACAGATTCATCTTGCAGGTGAATCACTCTCTGTGAGATCACTCTTATCAAAGAGAAATATTTGTGAGTTAATCTTTCATTCATTCTTACAAATCATTGCTCTTTGATACTGTAGAATTGTGAGAAATTTTCCATTCTTTTACTAACTCTATAGAATTGTAGAATCAAGATATCTGCAGTCTGCAATCACTCTTTATAGTCACATAGAAGAATTCAGGCCTGTGATTCATAATCACTCTTGTTTACTAGAGTGATCTGACTGTTCTGTGAGATTATTCACAGTGTAAGTAAACCTCTCTAGAGTAGTATAAATATCTCAGATCTGTTTGCAGAATCTCATCTTCTTTTTTCTTTTTCTGTAACAGCTCTCATCTTCACAAACTATAAGTATTCTCATTCATCTGCAAAGTGTTTTCACTCAGATGACAGAGAGAGAGTGTTTCTGACAATATTCACATATTGATTCAAGAACTTCTCAAGAATAAAAATTTTTCAATTCCAACATCTTCACAAACAATGTCTGACTGTCGCTGAGCTTCTCATGAGCGTCCCCATGACTCCTCTGATCACTTTTTGCCGGCTGGTGAAGCAGGGACACTGCCGCCCATGACTGTGCCTCCATCCTCCCCAGCCCTGTCACTGCACCTGATCTTCAGGCCAGCAGCCCACCCCATCCCTCTCCCAGACCAGCCCCTGGCTCCAAGCAGCGCAGTCCCTCCCTTTGCTGTAAGTCTTCTCACAAGTAATTCCTTGCAGACCCTAGCTGAGAGTTCTTGCAAAGCTCTCAGTGTTGCCAGTGTCTCCTGCGGCCCCGCAGGCCTATGATCACCCCCCCCCTGCCCACACAATCTCTGACCAGGCATATATGAATATGCCTAGGTTCCCTGCCAATGATCCTCGCACCGCGGCGCATTTCTGCAATCTCATTGTCAATGGGAGATAAGTTCCCAGGTACCTGCAAAATCCAGGTAATCAAGGTAATGCAAATGTCATGAATTCATGACAGGAGTTGACCTGAACAGATGAGCCCTCTCTCTGCATCCTCATTGTTTCCAGGCTGAATACTTCAGCACAACTGAGAGAGCAGACACAGCTTCATAAGAGATATCTGATCACATGTACAGGTGGCCAGTCTTCAAGGCTCTGTCACAACTGTGCACACTCTGATATCCAGCTTCTCTGAAGTCTGTGCATTTCTGGCAGCCTTTGTGTCAAATACAATAATTGTCTGTACTGCAGATATAATGCTCTCTGCTTCTTTGAAGAGAGAAATTGGTAGTTGTGAAAGGATTAAGTGTCACAGATGTTGATAATATGAGTGTGAGTTTTCTTTATTTTTTCTTTATTGATCTCTAAATTGCATTCACAGCCCTGTTTATTTTCTTGTTTTTTAGCTTTAATAAGAACATGTTTTCTTCTTTCCTTGTGTACACTGCAGACTGTTCATCTCAGTAGAAACTTATCATCTTGTAGACTAGGATTCATAAATAACAGTGTTAATATCTTTATTATAATCAGATTCTTAGTGAAGATCATATCATTCTGGCTTATCAGAATTCATAGTATAAAAGTCATGTCTCAGCTTCTGCAGATGTCTTATCTGCTCAGATGATTCTCAAGTGAACTCATTCATCTTATCAGAATACTCTTATCACTGAACCTTGAATCAGAGCTCACAATCTCACTTCTCTGAGTCAATAATTTCTTTAATCTGATATTCTCTTTCACTCTCTAGTGCTTTATAGACAGAGTGATGAGTCATAGAGTTCTCTTCTGAGAATTTCTTATATTCACAGAGCAAAGAGATATGAAAAACATTATACATCTGCAACTCAGGTGACAGTTTCAATCTGTAGAACTATGAGCTAACTTTCTTCACAATCTTGCAAGACTCTGTCTACAAGAGATTCAGCTTCTTACTAGATCTTCACATGATAATGTTTTCTAGACTCAGTCAGACTCTATCATCTTTCTTAAAACTCTTTGCAATATGCTTAGAGTTATAGTATCTCTTCTGATACTCTTAAGTCTTTCTCAAGAATTCACAGGCTTTCTCCTGAATCTTCTGAATTCTCTCAGCCTGTTCACAGGCATCACCACACTCTATAGTGTACTCTCACGGGTTCATCAAGATCATTCACAGATGAGTCTCAGTGAGCATCTCAAAGAGGATTTTATCTGTGCTGACATGCTTTAAGTTGTTGTATATGAACTTCATAAGTGATAATCAATGCACTCAGTCATTCTGATTATAATTGACAAAGCATTACAGATACTGTTTCAATATACTCATCAGATGTTCTGTCTGATCATCTGTCTGTTGATGAAAAGCTGTGCTTAGATCTCATAAGATCTTCAGTATAGTTATCAGATCAGATCAGAACTCTTCTATGAAGATTGATTCTCTATCTGAGACAATGTTTGCAGGTAATTCATGCAACTGAATCACATTGCAGATGAAGATATGAGTCAAATTCTTTGACTTCAAGTTCTTACAGGTGAGTATAAAGTGTGTTATCTTAGTAAAGTGATTCACTATCATCAGCACACTGTCAAAGCAGGCATCATATATGTTCTTGCTTTCAGAGAGGCTTACAAGAGCATTCATTCCTAGCTGTTCCCAAGGTTCCTGTGAGATGAGTAGAGAAGTGAGTTCTTTATATAACCTGAACTGCACTACCTGTGAACCCTGACAAATAGCACAAGAATTCACTATCTTCTTCATAAGTTCTCACATCTTCAGCCAGAAGTATTTCCTTATAAGCAACTCATGAGTTCTAGTGTCTGTAAAATGACCTGCTAGAGAAGAGTCATGATGTCTTTTAATGAGTTCTATGTGTAGAAACTTATTCACAGGCATATAAATTCAGTTCTCTCTTTGCAAGAGGTTATTTAAGTCTCTTCAATTCTTTATTTCTGCAGAGTTGATCCCTGCTGTGAGCAGTTTCTGAATATGCTGAGTATATTCATTCTTCAGTTACAGTTCAGACAATCTGAATAGAAGACCTTGTGAAGACTTGTGCTCTGTTTTCTCTTACACCAGGTCTTCCGTGGTGCTTCTCAAAGCCTGCAAATTCTTCAGGTTATAGATACTCTCTTCAAGAATTCTCACAGAGATTCTCAGAGTGTTGACTCTCAGTGTTACAGAAAGTAGTTACACAGGCTTCTTCTCTCTCTTTCCCTTCTTCTCTCACAGAGGATTGAGAGACTCTTCAGTCAATCTCTTTGCAACACTCAGTCTGAGCATCTCATGAAGCTTTTCTGCCTTCTCTAGTCTCTCTGTGTCTGTCACCCTGGCCTTCTTAACATAGTCTGGCCTGTGAGAGAGTCTGTTCACTGAGTTCTTAGTTCTCTTGATATGCTCTATCTTGAATCAGAACTCACTCAGTCTCTGAGCCCAGTGAACCTGCTACTGCAAGAGTTTCTTGATTGAAGTAAACTGTCACAAGCTATTATAATCAGTTCTAACAGTAATCACTGTCATGAGGCTCTCAAAGTAGTGATGTCAGTGACAGAAGAATTTCACTATTACAAGAAGCTTCTGATTATGAATACTATAGTTGATCTCTGCAGGTTGTATCTTTCATGAGAAAAAGATCACTGAAACTCAGTTCTCATTTGACTGTAGTTGTAAGACTATTTCTGAAATCACAAAGAAGAAGACATCTGTCTTCAATCTGATTAAGAGTAAGAGATCAAAGTGGAACAGCATCACTGTGTCTGTGAATATCTGTTTCAATCTTGTAAAGACTCTGTGAGCTTCTGAGATAAGAAAGTTCTTACAGTTCTCTCTTCTCAACAATCTTTTCATTCTCTGTTTATGAGATGACTTCTTCTTATTTTCATCCTTCAGCATGTCTGTAAGGGCCAAGGAGATTCTTGTGAATGCAAAGATAAACTATCTATAGAAATTCACAAAGCTCAGAAAGATCTGAATCTCATGAATACTAGTTGACTTCAGTCATGATAGAATAGTCTTAATCTGTGAAGATTTCATCTGAATATCATCTGCAGTGATTACATATTCTAGGAAATTAATCTGATGAGCACTGAAGTTACACTTCACAAGCTTAACATACAGTTCTGCCTCATCTAAGGCCTTCAACATGCTTCACACATGCTCAGTGTGTTCTTTCTTCTTCATGAAGTACATTACCACATCATTCAGATATATTATCATGAAGACATTCAGATATACATGAAGTATTTTATTGATAAAAGACTGAAATACTGTGAGAGTATTAGTCAGATCAAAAGACATCACTAGATATTCAAATAATTTCAGTGCAGTTCTAAAGACAGTCTTTCATTTATTCTCAGACTGTATTCACAGCTGTGTATATATATTAATCACATTCAGTTGTGTGAATATAACAGCTTCTGTGAGACAGTTGATCACATTCTTAATCAGAGATAGAGAGTAGTAGCTCTTTATTATCTTAGAGTTCAGATTGTGATAGTCTACATACAATCTGAGATCTTCATTCTTCTTCTTCATGAATATCACAGAGGCTTCCACAGAGGCCTGTGAAGATCAGATGAAGTCATTCTTCAGATTCTTCTTCATATAGGTCTGCAAGACCTCTGTCTTATAATGAGAGAGCTTATAGATTGATTCTCAGAAGGGTTTCTGTCCTTCTATCAAATCTATTACCAGATTCTTCTTGCAGTGAGAAGAAAGCTCAGCTGCCTTAGCTGGGCTGAACATCTCTGTGAGATCTCAGTATTTCTCTGATATCTGAAGCTCAGTTTTCATGACTGTGAGATTCTCAGACACTTGCAAAGTCATTATATAGATGAGCTTGTCTTCTCTAATCAACTCTGCAGCATCAACTGCTTCTACCTCTGTGAGTGAGTCTGTCAACACTGATCAGAAGTATAAACCTGACTCACAGACAGCTATGTGCAGATTGTGTCTTTGAAGTCATGCAAGTCTCAAATACATGTCATCTGTGATGTCTGTGATAATCACAGTTTTCACAAATCTTCTTCAGATTTCAGAGAGATCTTGTAATTCAAAGATGACCCTTGCAAGTCTCTCAGTTCTCAGGTCTGAGTTCTCACATTCTGCTTGTTGCAAGAGCAGGTTCCCAGTCTTCATCTTTCAGCTCATTCACTTCACAAGCTTTAGAAACATCACAGTGATCTGAGATTCTGAGTTCATCAATGCTTTCCATGCTTGCAGGGCAGCAGCATCACAGTGCAGTCTCTTCTCATGAGCAAGCATTTTCATTGAAGAAGCAACAGATTCAGATGTCAGCTTTAAGGCCCTTAAGAAGGCTGTTGCTGACTCTGTCTGTAACTTCTCAAATTCCTATTTTAGTTTGTCTGAACAGTTTGTGCAGAGATGTTCTGATTTAGAACAGATGAAGCAGAGTTTCTTTTTCTTAATCTCTCTGTTGTACACTCTGTTTATAAGAGCTTGTGAAGCTCTCTCTCTCTGCTCAGCAGTCAGATATGAATCTCTCTGTGTCTTGTTATCTTTTCCTGACAAATCTGTTCTCTGTTGTCCTGGCCCTCACAGAATCAGTCAATGATCTGCTCTCTGCAGGTCTGTGACTCTCACAGTGATTCATAAGTAATGAATGAGAGTCATCAGTTTCTTCAGAGTCAAGAACTTAGAGTCTTGCTCAATGAGCTTGTTCTGCATGTCTTTATCCAGTCTCTTCATGAATATTATCATTCAGGTCTTGTTTCAGGGCTCTGTTTTCACAGGTCTCAATTCATGTCACAATTTCATGAAGCACTGTGAGTAGTCTTCATCAGATTTCTTGCCTCTTTTTCTAATATTGATGATCACAGCTCAGATGTTCTCTGTCCAGCTTGCAGAGTCTCTCAACTTGTTCTCTAGATAGATCTTGAGAACAGATCATTGAAATCTCTCATGATCATTCTCTAGATGATTCAGCCAGTCCTTGACTTCAGTGTAATAGAGGCCTGTCATTGTGTAGATGATAGCTTCTTCATCTTTCATGTCACACAGTCAGGCTTGTGAGTCAATTTCAAATGCAAACTTGCAAAAGCTTTTATAGATTGTGATTTGATAGATGATCTTAAGTGATTGTGACTTGAGGAAGTTTCTTTTTGATTCACAGGTGTCTCTGGAGATCATGTCTAGAGACTCAGTTTGAGAGTGTTTACAGACAGTAAGCATTTCTTGTAGAAAAATAGCTTGATTCTGCAGGAGATGCTCAAGGATGTTCTTCACTGAGATTGGTTCATTCATGAGTTTGAAGAGTTTCTCTGTCACAGATGCAGAGAATGATGTCTCATAAGTGATTGATAAGTCCTCTGAGACTTCTTTCACAGAGATTATCCATGATTCAGGTGGCTGCTCCTGGGTGCCTGCAGTCGGGTTCGCAGGGGTTGAAGCATGCGAGTTTCTAGTTCTTTCAGTCATAATGAGCAGTTGCTGACTGACTGAGCTTGAAATGTAAGAATAAGTGCTTGCAGGTGATTATTCAGGTGTTTGCAGCTTGATGTGATATGTACTGTTAACTACTAGAAGTGTTTATGATAGAAAGATAAATGTAGAGATCAAATGTATAATAGCATTCAAGCTGAGTTGTGAATAGTATTCGTGAACTCCAGTCTATATAGTTGTGTGTAGCCAAGGGCCGCTAGCCCTATTGATTACACGAGAGATAGGAATAGGGGTAAAGAATCCGCGAGGAGCGGGATTTCTTACACTGAGTTAGTACTAAAATTATAACTAAGTTAAGAAACAAGATTATTTTCTCTTATATTAATTCTTCTTACACACATCAGTGATCAGTTATTGAAAATAAATTATTATCTTTCTCAAATTATTATTATATCTTCTGAATTTACTTCTTTCACTTCTTTTACTTCTATTGAAGATTCACAAACTCTTCAAGAAATTACTGTAAATTACAAAGTCTATATTATTTACAATTCAACATAGAATACTCTCTTTTAATTATAATGAATAATTACTTCATTCTTCACATCTGATTCTAGATCATGAAATTTATGAAAAACTCAACACAAATACTGAGATGAACTATGAAATAATTATTAACAGATTGTATTATAGATTACTGAAGAGTTATCTCTCTACTGTAATCACTGTAACTTTATTCAGAAATATTTATCATGAACTGATCATAGCTCTGAAGAAATTTCTTAACATCTGAAGTTATCAGAATGCAGATAATAAAAGAAAAATAATTAGAAAATTACTACTAAGCTGATAAATTACTCTACTAGATAATGATTTTTGATAATGCTAACTTTCTAATTTGAAGAAAATTATGTGAAAATAATTATATATCAGTACTCTGATTTTACAACTCTCATCTGATAACTTCTATGAATAATTACTTTATATATATATATCTCTGAATCTTTCTCTTCAATTAATTGAAAATTCTGAATTCTGAACACTTCTTCAAATGCTTAATTTAAATCTTTATATTTTATATCAATTCTGTCTTCAGTTCAATCTCAAGATATACTATAAAGTTAATATACAATATCTAGAATCAGAGTTGAAGAATCATCAAAGAGTGTCTCTCATAGTGAATGCATGAACTAGTACAAATAATCTTACATTTATAAGAGTTATATGTTATTATATTGATGAGAACTGAACTTATAAAGAGATATTAATTGAATTTGAATCATTGATCAGTAGTCATACTAGAGATTATATAGCAGAGATATTAATAACTGTGATTAAAAATGACTATTAAAATATTAATCTCAGTCTTCTTACAATTATAACTGATAATGCTGTGAATAACTACACTATGATGAAGAGCTTGAAGCAAAAATTGACTTTGTATTTCTGAAATGATAAATAAGATCATATTCTCTGTATTACTCATGTGATTTAACTTGTGATATAAACACTGATAAAGAATCTTAATATTAAGATAAAGAATAATGAGATGACTGATTCTTGAGATAAGAATGAGATGAAAGTAATTACTCAAGTAACTTTTATATTCACTTTGTAAAAGATAATGTTTTTTAATAATACTTTTTAATATTGCTTTTTAATAATACTTTTTAATAACACTACTATTAATTTTGAATAGATTGACTAATAATTTAAATATCACAGATTCAAAACATTGCTAATACAATTTGTTTCTTCTCTAAATAATAATAATGATTTCATGATATTTAATAAATAAACAAATCAGTCACATCACTGAATATGATACAGAATGTTAGAACACAGTGAAGTTCAATATATAAAATAACTGTTTAAACTCTTCAATTATATCAGATAATTAATCATTGAGTGTAATACTCTGATTGAGAAAAGATTCAGATATTGAAACTTTCTGATATGAAGTGAACTCAGTTGAAATATGTGATTGATTTACTGTTTCAGTTTTATAAGATAATAAAGACAGTCTCAATCACTTATACACTAATGCTGCAGTCAGTCTGATGAGTGTATAACAGTTTATTTACTTATCTTAAGAAGCAGTTGAATCACTTAAAAAGAAATTCAGTCTGAGATAATACTATAACACAGGCTATTATTACTGTAAGAAATAAACTGATATATTACTACAGTAAAACTGAACAATCTTTTGCAGAGTACTATACTGTAGTAGCTCTACTAGATCTCTCTTATCAAGTTAATATCTACACTTCTCAAGATTGAATAGAGAAGGAATGAGACTCATATGTTAAATTAACTTAAGACTACTATAATATCAACTATCAGAGATTTGAATGAGCAGATATTCAAGATATGAAGACAGTGAAATATAATTCTCTAGTAAGTAATAATCTTTGATAATACTTCATATCTTATAGAACTATAATACTAACTTTGAAACAGAACTTGCATACATTGATTACAACTGAAAATCAGACAAAACTATATACTTATAAAACTGAATTTAACTGTTATCTTCAAGATAATTTAACAAATTTATATATTAAATCAATTCTAGAGTTATGAAAAATTGTTAAGAGTACATATTTAACTGTTGTACTGATGATATGTGATATTCTGACAATTTCATTAATAGAGGTGAAAATGAAGTAAAAGTTCAACTCAAGTCAAGATATTTATCACTATCATCAGAAACAATTATAAGAAGAAATAATTAAGAAACTCATGATTGTAAAATATGAAATTATCAGATAGTTTAATATCTCTGATCACAGTATATCAGAGAAGTGTAGTTTTCATAAGAAAGTGAAGAATAAACTTATATAAAAATGTATTTAATTGTTTCATAAGCATTATTAATAATTATTACTAAATTCTGATTATATAAGCAATCACTGAATGAACTGAATGAGACTGATTTTAATCTTCAGTCTCAGTCTCATTCTGATTTTAAAAGAATGATTATCTTTCATAGTTTATTCTGAGAAATTACTCTTATTTCACTGTTCTTGAATTAAATCTGATCATTTTTCACATCATTTCTCTCAGAAATGATTCATTTTCAGATTTTTTTAAGACTTGATTCTGGTGAAACTCACGCTAAGAAATGTATAAGATCAGATTAAATAAGATTAAATATGAAATTCATAATTCTGTCAGTCAGTCTAATCACAGCTGTATTACTCTCACTGTGAGAAATACACAGTTGATAATGAATATTATAAAGACTCTGAGAAGTAAGTATTTTAAAAATGCTGCAGCTTTGTAATCTTAATTTTTTTTTTTTTATTTTTTATTTTTTTTTTTCTTTTATTTTTTTTTCTTTCTCTTTCTTTCTCTTTTTTTCTTTCTCTTCTTTTTTTCTTTCTCTTTTTTTTTTGTTGTGATTTTTTCTTGTTGTTTTGTTTTTTGTTTTTTTATTATTTTTTATATTTTATATATTTTTTTAATTAAAATGATATTGATTATAATCTGTGTTCAGAAAAGTAATAATATTTAATAACACTCTCTATTGAATTTTCAACAAATGAGTACTATGTTATGATATTATGTAAGTGAGAAATAATTTCATGATTTATTATTATTATTATTATTCTTCAATTATAGATGTATACAGTCAGAGACTATGACATCTATCTGAGAATCTTTAGTTCTCAGAGTTTTTTCTATATCTATAGAGTCAACTATTATACATTTATTAATTTCAAATATACAAAATCAGAAAATTCCAGCTCAGAATATAAAAACTGTTTATAAATTGCAGTATTTCAACACCTTCTGATAGTTTGAAATTATTTGAAAATATTATGACAAAAGAAAAGAGAACATAGTCTTAAAGATAGACATATTAAATAGATAGAGAAAAGAACAGAAGAAAACAAGTACAGTAAAGAGAGACTATAATAAAATAAAATTATTAAAAGATAATGTATAGCTGTTTTAACAGACTATATCTAGTCAATTTTCACCTCTTCATATTCAGATACTTCTGAATTCAGTCATTTTCTTATAGCTGCTCTAGTTTCTGATAGAAAGTCTATTAAGTATTTAGTTTCTGTCTCAGTTGAGAATAAGAACCTTATATTTAATTAATTTAAATCATACTTCTTCTTTAATCTGACTCTGAGACTATTATATAATGCATAATGCATTACAATATACTCAGAATTTTCATTCACATTGCAGAATGAGCACTCTGTTGAATCAAATCTATCATTAAATCTTTGTATATAAGATTTGAAATAACCATGTTCTAGTTTCAGCTGAATTATAAATGAGAATATTTTCTTTTTACATTTAATTGAATAAGATTTTCACTTTGATTTTGTCTCAAATCTTGAATAATGTATACTCTTCTTTTGTTTCTGCCAGCTTTCATTCTACTTGTTTAAACAAGATTTCTACGGGTGCTAGCCACCCGCAGGATGCACCTTAAGCTAATTACATTTAACCCTCTATAATTAACCGACCACCGCGTCCGTCCTCTCGGGCCAGCCACTAATTTCCAGGGATGTTAGTTAGTGGCTGTCACCGCTCACTTGGTACACATCAAGCTTCCGGTTGCTGATCTCGGCCTCATTAGATGCCCATAGGCCTATCAATCAGCCGTTGTAGCCTCACCCTGTGTTAGAGACTAATCATAGACTCAATGACTGCAGTCCTCCCTGCCAGTATTAGGGCTTGACAGGGAGCTTGCAGGCTCTAGCCTATCAGAGTGCTCTGCCTAGGGCCTAGATGCACATCTAGGCCTGCTAGTCAGGTGGTTTTCAAAATCATTCTCTGTATTTGAGAGAAGCTAGGCTTCAATGACAGCCCTAGTTAGAGACTCACTTAAGTAGTGTATAATCACTACATTAGGCTTGACTCTATATCATTAGAACCTTGATAGGTGCACAGTAGAATAGTGAGACATTGACATCTTATATTAGCTCTGATGAGTGTTTGCAGAATCTTGCTTAACTAGTGACTTGACTTGCAGTAGAGAGTTCTACCCTGCACCAAGTCTTACTAATTAGGCT